TCAGGGTGTACCGGGGGCTGGGTACAGGGTGGGCTGGGGGGAGCTGCGCACATGGGGGAGGCGGCTCTGTCTATGGTGTTGGGGAGTCAGTGGGTGGCTGGGGGGACCCTGAGCAGGAAGTGGGGTGCTGATTGGGGCTTGGAGGCAGGCTGGGGTTGATCCCTGGCTCACAGTCTGCCGGGCAGGGGCTGCATGACCCTGGGGTGGGGTTTTTGGGGGGGGGGCTGTCTGGGATAACCCTCCTCCCATCTTAGGGGCTAATCTCTCCCCACCCCTGGCAGGAGAGCATCGCGGGACAGGACGAGATGTTCGACGTCCTGGACTAGCAGCCCCTGGCCATGGGGGGATCTGGGGGGTGTCACAAGGCCGGTCCCTCCCCAGAACCCACCTTGCGGGGAGGGTTCAGAACACAGCCGTGGCGGGGGGGACAGGGGCTTTGGGGAGGGGGTACCTGTCCAGGGGGAGGGGCAGGAAACTGAGCCAGCCCTCCCCGAATTCTCAGGGGGAGTGTGTGTGGGGGGGTCGCTGGAAGAATCCGCCCCACAAAATCTCTGGGCCTGCCCAGGTTGGGGGAGCCCTAGCAGAGAGAGACCCCCCACTTTTGTTTTGGGTGGTGGGGGGCGAGTGATTGTTTTATATAAAGAATTTTCAATATATTTTAATATTAAAGCGCCTGGCGTGTCTGTGTCTCTCCTGCCACCACCACCCCCCGGCTGCGTGGCCAGATTGAGGGGGCCCTGCACTGCATCCAGTGGGAGCGGCGGTCCCCTCTGGGGTGGGGTGCCGAGATGCGGGGGAGGGGGGGAGGAAGACGGGACTGCCATGATGGAGGAAGGGAGTTGCAGTGGGTGGGGTGAGGTGGGTTGGGGGCACCCAGGGGGCCTTGGCAGGGAGCACACTAAGGGATGGGGAGGGAGGTGCAGTGGGAGAAGCGCAGTGAGAGGGTGGGGCTTGCAGTGTTCGCAGAGGGATGTGCAGTGAGGGGGATGGCAGTGGTGGCAGGCTGCAGTGAGGGGGTGGAGCAGTAGAGGGGAGAGGGTTGGAATGGGGGCAGTAGAAGTCAGATCCTAGTGAGGTGAATAGAAAGGAGCATAACCACGGCCCGATGTAGTGTAAAACTGTAATAAGAAAAGCCCGAGAGGAGTTTGAAGACCGGCTAGCCAAAAACTCCAAAGGTAATAACGAAACTTGGCAAAGTTTGCAGATGATAATAAACTGCTCAAGATAGTTAAGACCAAAACAGACTGTGAAGAACTTCAAAAAGATCTCACCAAACTAAGTGATTGGGCAACAAAATAGCCAATGAAATTTAATGTGGATAAATGTAAAGTAATTCACCTTGGAAAAAATAACCCCAACTATATGTACAATATGATGGGGGCTAATTTAGCTACAAGGAATCAGGAAAGAGATCTTGGAGTCATCGTGGATAGTTCTCTGAAGACGTCCACGCAGTGAGCAGCGGTGGGCAAAAAAGCAAACAGGATGTTAGGAATCATTAGAAAAGGCATAGATGGAGAATATCTTATTGCCCTTATATAAATCGATGGTACACCCACATCTTGAATACTGCGGACAGATATGGTCTCCCCATCTCCAAAAAGATATACTGGCGTTAGAAAAAGTTCAGAGACGGGCAACTAAAATGATTAGGGGTTTGGAACGGGGCCCATCTGAGGAGAGATTAAAGAGGCTAGGACTTCTCAGCTTGGAAAAGAGGAGACTAAGGGGGGATATGATAGAGGTCTATAAAATCATGAGTGATGTGGAGAAAGTAGATAAGGAAAAGTTATTTACTTGTTCCCATAATATAAGAACTAGGGGTCACCAAATGAAATTAATGGGCAGCAGGTTTAAAACAAATAAAAGGAAGTTCTTCTTCACACAGCGCCCAGTTAACCTGTGGAACTCCTTGCCTGAGGAGGTTGTGAAGGCTAGGACTATAACAGCGTTTAAAAGAGAACTGGATAAATTCATGGTGGTTAAGTCCATTAATGGCTAGTAGCCAGGCTGCGTAAGGAATGGTGTCCCCAGCCTCTGTTTGTCAGAGGGTGGAGATGGATGGCAGGAGAGAGATCACTTGGTCATTGCCTGTTAGGTCCACTCCCTCTGGGGCACCTGGCATTGGCCACTGTCGGTAGACATGATACTGGGCTGGATGGACCTTTGGTCTGACCCAGTACGGCTGTTCTTATAGTAGGGAGCCCAGCGATGTGGTGGGGGTGCAGTAAGTGGGAGGGATTGGAGGAGGGGGGATGCAGTGAGGGGTGTTGCAGTGGTGGGGGAGGGGGATGCAGTGAGGGGTGTTGCAGTGGTGGGGGAGGGGATGCAGTGAGGGGGATGCAGTGGTGGGGGAGGGGGTGTGGCCGTGGTGGGGGGATGCATTGAGGGGTGTTGCAGTGGTGGGGGAGGGGGATGCAGTGGTGGGGGAGGGCGTGTTGCAGTGGTGGGGGAGGGGATGCAGTGAGGGGTCTGGCAGTGGTGGGGGAGGGGGTGTTGCAGTGGTGGGGGAGGGAGTGGGATGGGGAGAGGAGCAGCATGGCCCAGGAGCACTGGGTATCGGGGGCGGGGCTCGGCTCTAGGTGACAGACACCTCCCACACCCAATCACTGCAGGGGGCGGGCCCGGGTGCTGGAACGAGCCAATGGGGATAGTGGCCGGGGGGGGCGTATCCCTGCCTCGGACGGGCACCAGAGCCTCCAGTGAGGTAGCTGGGCCAGGGTCTGATGGGCCTGCGAGTGTGAGCGCATGGGGGAGGGGCTCAGGCTTTGACTGACACATCGTCCACCAATGGCATTTGCCTGAGGAGGTGCCCGGGAAGGCGAGTCCCTGAGTGACACCTGCGTCGTCCAATAGCATTCTCCTGTGGCTGTTGGGGCCTGTTACCGTCTGTCAGAGATTAGCGGCCAGTGGCGTTTGCCCTAGGGAGGATGGGGCGGGGCAACATTGTGAGTGAAATCCCCCGTGGCCAATGGAAGCGTCACTAGACTGTGAGGCTAGGCTTGGAATGCTGAGTGACACCTTCCTCACCTAATAGGTACATCTCCGGGCATGAGGGCGGGCACTCTGAGTGACACCTCCTTCGCCCAATAAGAATGCGTATTAGCTGTGGGGCGGGCCCGGTACTCTGAGTGACACCTCCTTATCCCAATAGAAGCGCCCCTTCTTTGTGGAGGGCGGACCTGACCCGATGAGTGACATCTACCTGGCCCAACGGCACCGCCTAGCAGGAGGGGCGGGCCCATGGCTCATGCGGGGGCCCAATGGGGGCCGAGGGGCGTGGCCGGGCCCTCCCCCGGTATAAGCGGCGGGGGGCGGGGCTCTCGCTCTCTCTGCGCTTCGCTCGCAAGATGGCGGAGGCGACCAACTGCACCATGGAGGTGGGGGCCGGGGCGGCACGTGCGGGGCCGG